AAGCTGAAACGAAACCAGGACTTCCAGGATACCAGGCTTACCCGAAGTAGGAGCGGAGGCAACTTCTTGTATAAACTTCACTTTATGCTTTCGGCCTTCAATGCCTGAAAAGCAAACACACACTCACACGCGAGCACACACACAAACACAAACACACACTTCTTTTAACTTACTCACATGCCATTTGCTTGTACTTTGTATGAATTTTACGAATATTTCATAAGAAGAATTATGCTCTTGTCTAAGCCAAGTGTGCATATATGATCACACACACTCTCCTGCTCGTGTGTGAGTTGTTGCCTGTTCTTGTTGTCGTGTTGTATCGCATGTTTTGTCATACGAAGTGGCTATGCAAAGACAAACAAGCCGGAACGACAACAACAACAGCAAAACATCAGCAGCAACAACAACAACATTGGCCAGGAGGATAGGACGCTGCACAAAAATGTTGTCAATCAAGGTTGAAGATAACAAGAGACAAAGGCAGCAAACAGGATGTTAAGCCCTTAAATTGCCTCAGACAGCCGGGAAATGTGTCTTGATTATAACCCAGTGTGTGTGCAGCGGTGTATCCCGAAACAAATTAAGTGGAACCAACAAATTCCTCATGCACAAACTATTTCCTTTTGAGGCTGGACGGATTTGTTTTCCATAGCATACTTTTGCGGGCAAGGTTCACTTTTGTGAAGTTTTCGAGAAAGTAAAAGATGGCAGGCACAAAAATAGCATCATCACATTGGCCTCGTATCCCGAATCTAATATATACATAAACTATTTCTTCTCAAAATGTAAACTTTTAAATTGTAATATTTTAGTCAAGAAGCTAGTTTTTTTCAAGATGTTTTTCTTCTCTTTTCTTCAAAATGTTACGAAAAGCCACATTATTTTATATAGAATGCTTAATTAGTTGTGACAAGACTTTTTCGTAGCATTTAAGACACGAGTTTAAACTCTGCCTTAAATTGGAAAAAACTCGAGTAATGACAAGCAATAATTATCCGCTCGTTAATCAATTATATCCAATTAATGGGGTCAACTCCTGCGGAGAATATAATCCACTTTTTGTTGAAAATTGGTGGAACAGACTTTCATTGTGTTTCCAATTTGTAGACACGCATTTTTTCTTCACTTCTTTGGGGGTAATCATGCGAGCAATTAAGCTCCTCTCGATTGACGCTAATTAATGAACAGCATTAAAAATTATTATGTGTGAAGCAAAGAAGCGGAGCAAATATGACAGCCAATTGAAGAGCCAAGCTGCCACGCCCACCGTCGTCAAGCGCCGCCCATCGGCCCATACACATACAAAATTTCAATTTTCGTGCCTTGTAATTTGCTTGGATAATTTATATGCACGGCGGGCGTATATAGAAGAAGCACCTTAAACCCCATTTGGCGATATTGCTCCTGGTGCGAGATGAAATAAATTTTGCAGCATCATTTAAGCTTAATTAAGACATCCCAGCCGCAGGCGATGATGGCCAAAAGAGCAGCATGCCCAGCCACAAAAGCCTCCCAATGCACCGTGCTCAACATAAATAAATGAGTGACTTGATCCTGGAATGGTTCGGTGGTTCGGTGGTTCGGCGGTTCGGCGGTTCGGCGGTTTGGCGGTTCACAATGCTGAGTAGCTGAGTGCCTGGGTGGCTGAGTGGCTGAGTGGTGGCCGCGTGCATATTCGAGGGCCGACATCTCAATGCCCATTTGATTTCCAGCCAACTCACGATTCCACGCATTAAATCGCTTAGACAATGTCAAAAGGCATCATTACTCAAGGAGCCGTTGGCAGGCCACGTTCAGGAGCCTTTCCAATTGCCCTCGTCATCTGAAATGAGTGGTGCGATAAAGCAGTCAGCAGACAGAAAGGCGCAGAAGATGCTGCAGTGCCAGGCAACGACTATAAGATACCCAGTCAGCACTCAAAATTAGTAAGCCTCCTACCAAAAAAGTACACGCCATGTACTAATTTGTATAAGTTTATTAAGTTAGCCCACACTATTTTAATAGATACCAAAGTTAAATAACACTTATATATATATAGAGTACATCTAATACTATATATTGTATTATACCCCTTAACTCGAACCTCCCAAGCTACAAATGAGAGCTGGAAATAAGAAGCACCGCAGAGTCGAACTGAAAACGGAGGATGTCGGGTAACTCGATACCCAGCCAATGTTGATTTTTAATTACCGCGAAGGCAACGAAATGTAGCGATATTTACTATGAAATTCAATGCCATTAAACACAATTAAGTGCGTAGAATCCCCATCTTGCTAAATTAGAGCTCCCAACATAAGCAGGCAATTATGGGGGCTGTGTTGGTGGGATGTTCTATTTGTGTTCTATTTTATAAGCCGAATTCATTGAGTCAACGGTTCAAAGTGTTGCACATTACGCATCATTTCAGTCGCCACACACTCCTCGCGTGTCTCTACTGCCAAAGAGAGGGAAATGGAAAAAAGAATGCCGAAACAAAAGCGTGAAAATTGCAAAAGTTTTCTTAATTGCTCCACGCGGCTCGTCAACGTTGTCGAAAATTAAGGGCAAATATGCAAAGTCATTGTGTGAGTGGATGAATCAAGTGGGTTGGGATGTAGGAGTTGAGTTTTGGGCGGCAGGAGGCTTGGGATTGGAGGTTGGTGAATGGTGAATGGAGGAGCTGACTGGTGGAATGGCCTAGCCCCGTAATGATTAAACCAACCCCAGACACACGCAGATGGGGCGAAAAAGTGGGAAAACTCACTTGAATCGCACCCACTTTTACACATGCCGCTTTCCCAGCGCCCCCAAATGGGGGAAATTCAGCGGTGGCAATTGAATTCGAATTTACCGCTCCTTAAAGCCCACACAGCTTGGTTTACCGGGGCTTAAAACGAATCAAAATTTAAACAGGATTACGTAAAAAAAGATATGCGTTTGCTGTATAACTGATTAGGTTATATAGATCCGTTTGTGATGGAATGGTATCCCAATGAAACAAGGCGTGAAAAAAGTGCACCTTAGTCCTTTTTTGGTCCATTTTGTACCCATCCTACAAATTTACCTCATTATCCTGAGCCAAGATCATTCGGAAATTTAATGAGAGCTGGTGAACAACATTATTTTTATTCAATCATCAAACGACATCTAATTAATGTCTTTGTTGGAATATCCTATTATGTTTGCAATAGGCCTTCGGCTATTGTTGTTGTGCACTCAGGAGCACAAGAACTTCGTCGATTATCTGTAAATAAGGAATTTCGGATGTTAAAGCTGTTTACAACGACATCCGCACATGGTGGTATGTCTTACGGATGCACTTGGGGAAAAGGAGAAACATTAACATGAGTGTAGTTAACAAACCACTAAGCTGAGCATCGACAAATGCACATGTCCTGCGAGTCGAAGGATACAGCATGCAGCTTGCTACCAGAAACACACAAACACACACACGCAGACAGGCAGACGGACGGACAGGAGGAGCATTTGCCAGCTGGATAAGTGGTGACTGTGGCGAAGAAGATGCCAATTGCAGTGGGGAGAAGTTTAAATTAAATGCCACCTTCACTCAAATTAACCCACATTAAGCATATTGAGCTTGCCACGCCCCCTTGTGCTTGGAAAAGCGCGTCACTTGGGGGCGGGTGGATTTTCCCAGCTCTATGTTGTTTAATGAAGCCGAAGTTGTGGGTGTGTATGTGTACGTTTTGAAACACTGAGAAAAAATACATACATTTCTTAAAGTGATATTTGCTATAAAATGGCCACTTTGTTAAGCTATCTAAGGCAACTAAGGCCACTTTCTATTATTGAAACAAAATTTGAATATTTTTTAAACGACAGCTTGTAATTTTTCTCTGTGCGCTTGTGAGTGTGCGTGTGTGTGCGAGATGTGGGCGCGTGCATGTGGAAAAACAGTTTTCAAATGAATGCAAGTTTTAATCCTTGAAATATGATTTGAGTGCAAATATTTTGCATAACCATGAGCTCGACAGTGAAAAGGGTTTGCCGCAGGAAAAGAAAGGGAGACTTGCGGTCTTGCCATCTGTGTGAGTGAGTGTGCGTGTGTGAGCAGTGACACAATTCCGCTGGCAACATGCATGTGTGTGTATGTGTGCACTTGTACTTGCCAACCGCAAACACTTCACTCGCTCGAAGGTTGCCCCCTTTCTCCAATTCCCTTTCTTCTCACTGCTTTCTCCCAGTCCCTTCGCCATTTTCAGCATCTGGTAACGAGGAGCCTTCACTGTACAGTGACTTACATTTTTAGAAACATGACAGCCACAAAATGTGATTTTCCCATATCTAATACTTGTATCATAAAAATTATTCATAATCAGAAGTGGAACCTTCAGAGTTGCGCCTTTTCATGCTTTAGAACTTTAGTCAGACTTTTTAGTCTTTTTTAAATCATATAAAATTAATAAATATGATAAATATAAACTTCCCATTATTAACTAGTAAACAATACGTTGATGAAATAGTTATTGTTATCAAAGATGAAATACCTTCTTGTCACTGTATCTCACTGCCACCACTTGCATTTAGAAATACATTTGACCAGGACCCTCGGTTATCATTCAGATTGCGAGTAAATGGTCATGGGCCCAATAGTAGGGCCCTGGGCCACTTGAACCCACCTTTCGACCACAGAGGCGGGCAGCAGAGCGCGTTTAATGAGCAAAGTTAGGGCGGTACTCGAATGCGACCTCTGACCCCATGAAAAGAGTGTTACTCAGCGTGTTGGGGTTTTTGGGGCGAATCCGAGTGAGTGAATGAATGTAAATGTCATTTTGTGTGCGACTGGCAGGCTGCACGAATTTCTTGCCAACAGATGCACTTTGGGTTTTTAATATTTTCGTGGTGAACCGCACAAAGATAAAAGGTTCACATTTGCATACGTATGCCAAGGGAGGGGGCTTGGGCTTAGCTTTAGCATTTGTGTCTATTTGCAGCTTTTGACTTTTTCACACCGAAATTCACTTCTCACTTTGCCGTTTTTTCCAACCCATTTTCAGACATGACAAACGGCGGCGTGCAGGGACCCATCGAGGGCTACAATTCGCTGGACGACCTGCTGACAACCACGCCCACTCCCGGCCAGGCGGCCCTCCTCCTGCCCACCGCGCCCACCGCCGCCTACACCCATCCCAAGTGGATGGAGCCCTACTTCGATCCCTCGACGCCGCGCAATGTCACCGCCCTCATGGGCAAGTCCGCCTATCTCAGTTGCCGTGTGCGCAATTTGGCCAACAAAACGGTGAGTTTCGGCTCCAAGATGCACTCGCAGAAAAGAATTATTATATTTGGAAGACTTCAGAAAAATGTAAGACTTAATTTTGAGAAGCACGCTTCTAAACTTAATTTTTGCATGTTGATTTTTCCTTATAAGCGAATGCTGAAGTGACTAACCATCTGTGATTTGCTGCAGCCCAAAAATCATATTAAAAGTGGCATCTTTTATTCATGTTCGTAAGACCCAGCCAAGTACGCTTTGTTTCTTTAAGTGTGTAGCTGAATCTGACTGTTTCCGATGCGGGACTTTCGGGGTAACAGCGAACTCGTGTCGAAAAGTTTGTTGTCGTGCGTGTCGACAACGAGTCTTCGTGGCCATTAAAGTTTGGGCCAACTTGCGTTCGTTCTCCATGCGCGGAATAATTTTTATTTTTTGTGGCCGCCTTTTGCGTTGATTTCTTGGCCGATTGCCTAAAAACTGGTCGCCGACGCGTAGACCAAAATGTAATTCCCCTAGCATGACGGTGAAATTTTTAATTAGTTCCTTAACCTCACAGCACGCCCCTCATTCTGTTTGTGTTTTGCGGTAAGGCGGCTTTCAAGTTGTCTTCAAGTTTTGGGTTTTTTGTCTCTTTGCAAATTTAGCAATTTCATTTTTTACCTCCCCGTATTTTGTTCTGTTGTTGTTTCGCAATTGTTTCTTTTGTTTATCTGCTTTAATTGCTCCCGTCCTCCTCGTTGGTGCGGGGTCACAAGACAAAGGTCGGCCGGGAGCAATCTGCTGCTCCTCGGGGCTTGATCTCCAGTGTTTCCTGCCGTCACATTCAGACGGCATACAGATTCCCCAGAGATATGTATTCATGTGTTTTGTAATCGTTTTGCAGCATTTAATTTGGCCAGCTGGCAGCCTCTGGAAAATGTGCTTAGTGAAATGTATATAATTGTCGAAAGGTGACTGCGAAGGGTATCAACTTTTTAATATGAAAGATAGGTTTATGAATAATTAGGCAGTTGGCAGTTGGCAGATGGGCGGCGATTAATGACTGAGGGACACACGTCTCGGTGCCCCAGGCGATGCTTTATTATCCTGCGAAAAAAGGAAAAGAGGAAATTTGCATATAGATGCCCGCCAATTCTCATTTTCGCCATGCTGCCAAAGGGAAAATGCGATGCCAAAAACCAACAAACTTTCAACACGCTCGCGAGCACTTGACACAAATGCGCCACCAGGAAGTGGATACCGCTGGCAGCCAGCAGTGAAATGGAGCTGCGGATGCGAGTTGCGGATGCGAGTGCGAACGCGGATGCGGATGCCGTTAGCAGGGCGCAACTTTTAATTTCTTGCCAAACAAAAGAGGGACGATGAGAGCCAGTCCCCAGTAAACTCACCCATGTCGGCTAACACATACATCAACTGTGCAACCTCAAGTGGGCGAACCCTTTTGAGTCCTGGCCCTGCCACGCCCACCTCCCCCTCCTCACCCTCCTCCCCCTGCTGCTCAGCAATCTGAATTGCATTTGAGCGCGAAATTATTTAAACAATTTCACGAAATTGCTCTCGCCGCACGCGTCAACAGCATTTGGCTCACAGTCCGAGTTGCACGATCCAAAAGTTGCACTGCCGCCACGGAGCACCACCCAGCTGCACCACTTGGCACCACCCGGTGGCTCAATGGGTCCTCCCCTCCCCTCACCAACCCCACCCAGGGGCACAACTCGCAACTTGAAGCGGAATGTCGAGCTGTTGTTGCTGCTTCTCATGTCGTACACGGCAAGAAAATGTTTGTTCACAACCATCAAATTCAATGCATATTGGATTTGTTATAACAAGAGTACTTGCTCATATCAGTTGAATTAGCGTAAAAGATACATGTTTGATATTTTTGGAACCTAAAATGTAACATACGGAAAATAATGCCTTTATGAACTGGATAAACCATCGTAATGATGATGAATCATTTATAAAGGTGCTGGATGCATCCATCAATGTGATACAGTTTTTGTTCATCACACGTGCAACTAAGAGAAAAATCGTGTATTGATATAATCATATCTGTGGTGTAATGCCCAATTTGGGTATTGAAGTGGCCTAATTTGTTTGCTCTGCATGTGCTTTTCATATTGCTGGGGCGTTGCTGCTAATATGAGCCCACCCCCTGGGGGCGGCGGGGGCTGGAGTTTGGGGCCTTGGGGGCGTGGCTCCATTACAGGACCGCATGCAGCACAGCGTGCACTTGTTAATTACGCTTTAATTTGTTGCGTAAAATGTTTGTTTAATGGCGGCGCTGTCGTTGCGAGTGTGTGCGTTAGTTGTCAAAAGTGCGAGAGCCATGTTTTTCGCACTTTTATGCACTCTTGGTGGCTTTTTTTTTGTGCACAGAGCAGCAGTAATCACCTAACCGAAAACAGAGCTCGACAGGATAACTGCATGCAATCCTTAAACCGAAAACGGAATTGTTGAAGGCGGCCCTCGAAAGTATGCAACAACATTGCGTATAATTAAACGCACGCATGCTTTCCTTTCACTGCGAGAAAACACCATACACTTGTATGTACGTGTGGCGGTGCATGTGGGTACTCGGCTGTCAAGTGCGATAATTTCGCATTTACATTTGACTTAATAAGTTTATATAAGCCGCCGCCCTGCCAGCTTACAAAGTTATCTCTGTGCACCGCAAACTACTTAAAAAGTTTGTGATAATTAAGCAAAGCCAAAACAGCTCGAGCACGACCAGAGCACCAGCAGCAGTGGTTTCTCTAGAGGATCCGCCGAGATTCGTGGATTCCCCCTGTATTCCAACCGAACCCGCCGGAAATTCAAGCAGCCGCTCGTCACACATCGCTCATACGTCACGTACGCCCAGCCGAAAAATATGCAAAACTTTTTCGGGACGCCTTTGGATCCTTCAGCTCCTTCTAGATGGGTGTTTTATTCGATTTTGATGGCACTGCGTCGGCAATTCATTTTCAATTGCTGCATTTTTAATGGGCAGCCGCCTACTCAAGGCGCAGACAAATGACGCGATTTTACGAGTTTTAAAATAATGATATCGTTTTGGCTGCAGCGCGGCAAAGCAAGTGTGAGTTAATTGTTTAAGTATGATTCTTCAAAAGCTGTGTTGGAAAAGTGCTTCAATGAAAGGAGTTAGGAGTTACTCAACTTAGTAGCAAGTTATTTACCTTTGCCTGCACTACCACATCTCATATATTTCGCCACTTTTTCCAGCAATGTCTGTACTCCATTAGGTGGAGTGGAGTACACCCCACGCCAGGAGCAATCCTTTTGATTTAGCCCTCTCGAGAGTGCAAATATTTACGATTGTTTCTGGTATTTTACAGGTGTCCTGGATCCGGCACCGCGACATCCACATACTGACGGTGGGCTCGTACACCTACACCAGCGACCAGCGATTCCAGGCGACCCATCACCAGGACACGGAGGACTGGACACTGCAGATAAAGTGGGCCCAGAAACGGGACGCCGGCATGTACGAGTGCCAGATATCGACGCAGCCGGTGCGCAGCTATTTCGTCCGCCTGAATGTCGTGGGTGAGTTGAGCAGTTGAAGAGGTGTCCTTTGGATCGGCATCGGAATCGAAATCGGGGTCGGGATCGGCATTCCGGTGCCGATTCGGTTTCGGGCACACGGGCTTCATAAAAAATCCACCATTTGTCGTCGTCGCAAATAACAAAGGACACTCTCTCAGCGGCTGATGACAAAATACAATAAAAAATAAAAAGAAACGAAAAGAAAAAGAATTGAAGCACACCCCGAATTGCAGAGAAAAACGAAGTTGTTGAACAAATAAATTACACACGGCAAACGAGTGAGTAACACGCACGGCCAAGGAAAAGCGAAGTCCCACGTCGAAGGGACTTCGAGGACCTGGTTTTTATACGACAATAATTCCATTTTATCTCGTACTTTATTATTCTACAGTGCCAGCCAACGCTCAGCGCCCACCTTTCATCCTCATCTATATATTTTTCTCCATGCACTTACTTTTCCTCGCCTTTCTCTATCTTTCTCGGTGCCTCGCCCAGTGCCAACGGCCACCATCCTGGGAGGTCCTGACCTTCACGTGGATAAAGGCAGCACCATAAATCTCACTTGCACTGTAAAGTTCAGCCCCGAACCGCCGGCCTACATCTTTTGGTATCACCACGAGGAGGTAATTAAAGCTTATTGTTATTTTACAGTCTCTGAAAACGGACCACTTCGCGTTAGTTCATCTCAGCCACTCGAGAAAGTAAACGTAAACGGTTTTAATTCGTGGGTTCTTGGTTGGTTTTCATTGTGCAACATTTATTTATTTATTTCCCTTAATAAGATAGGTTGCAAACTTAATAACAGACCTTGGATCTCACTTATTTCCGAACCAGTCTAATTGCCCTCATCAGCAATATTTCGTTTCGCTTAACAATGACATATGTCATTCCCAACTTGGGAAAGCTGACTTCCAAATCAGAAAACTTCAATGCCTTCGAGCAAACTTCGTTGCTCATACGCCACCGGGTGACACAGAAGTTATCCTTCCATATCCTTCCATTGCCGTTTCAGTCGGTCTGTTTTTCTGTTTTTGGGTTACCCTCATCAGGTTTAAACGTCAGCTGCTGTTATTTTAATGAGCGAATCAACGCGCCCGGTCGTCCTGCGTCCTTCACACATGCAAATGCAAATCCGTCAAGGATAACTCGGCCAGTGACGTTTTGGCGGACAGGTCATGTTTAAATTACCGCTGTTGACAAATAGAAGGATAAGGAAATGGGAGCAGAGAATTTTCAGATCGGCTGCTCAACTTGTACCTAATTGTCCCTTCGCTTCTGCCAATTAGCCCTGTTGTCTTAGCCAGGCTAAGCAGCAGCCAGTGCTGGCTAATTGCAGAGTGCTAAATCCGCAACAGTTGCACGCTAATTGCGTTGCAAGAGCCAAACAAAATATCAACAAAAAACGCTTGGAGTAAAAGATTGTGGGGCACAAAAAAGAGAAAGCGGTGGTAAATGCGCTGCACACACAAAATCCGGCCAGCAACTGCTGCTCACTTCTTGCACAGCCACTTGGCGTATTTTAATGTATTCCAGGAATTTTCTAATTAAAATCCTTCTACAGCTGTGGACCAAGTGCACCTGTGTGTGGCCACAGGACCTTAACGCGTCCTTGCTGCAGGCTTTGCGAAGTCCTGCGCTGTCCTGTTCGCCGTACTTCGTGCTCCGTGCTCCGTGCTCCGTGCACACGGATTATTTACGATCCATGCAAATTTGCTGTTAATTAGTTTAATGGATGGATAAACCCAGTTGATGTACTTGCAGCGCGGAGCCCTGAAATGTATGCAACACTTTTTGCCTCGCACTTCCGCTCGCTAATTGTAATTAACGTGTTGCATATTTTCGCCTCTTCGCACATGAGGTCAGGTCCTTGACAGCTCGACTGTGGCATATGTGTGGCTAGCATGCCGGATGGATTCCGGCTAATTCCAGCAAATAACTGACATTTCACGTAACCTCGGTTTCAGCTAATAGCCAATTTCTTTGCCCAGTTTCAGCATTCAAGTGGGATTTTCAATGGGTCGCCAGTTTGCTCCACTTTTCACGATTATTTCAGTCAAATACTGCGCCTTGAGCGACTTTTATTTACTCGGGATTTTTATGACCCAAGGCTTGCTGGATTTTTATGCTTGAAATATGGGGGCGATTATTGCGTGGCCGAGTGCCACATAAATCCTATATATGCGCATTTTCAATGAGCTACACTTTACACAAATATTTTATTTACTTTTTGCCCGTTTCCGGCCGAGTTATTATTTCCTTTTGTGTCTTTTGTATGCCATTTTCCTGCCCACCCCACTCGCCAATACCATTACCAATCCCATCTGATCCACCAGATTGAAGAAGTCAGCAGCAGCTGCAGTTGTCATGAAAATTGCAGGCGGCACGCCATGAATTTTTAAGCTTCCAATGGCAGGATGCTTTTTATTTTCAATTTATCAAATGACAAACTGCAGACTCGCATTTATTCCAACTCACTGGTAATTCGGCCGCGCCCCCTTGCCGCCCAAGCTCATTAACTAATTTGCGCCGAGGGCAAAAATATTATAACACAAATATGGTTTTTATGCTGGAGTCGGCAATAATGGTGCCAGGATATCGTGTGCCTACTGATAGGCAAACTTTTCACTTGCCAAAAGTTTGTGCGACAAACTTTGTGTCATTTTCATTGTTTTCATGACTGACATCCACTGTTTTGGGGTATACTCGTAAAAGAGGAGTCATTTTGTGCGATATTTATTTACACAAATATATATACTTTCTAAATTAGCGATATTTTTGCAGAGAACAATTCTACCAAAAAACTTAATATTACATAGAATTGAGAATTAGAATTGAGGAGTTGCCCAATTTGCCATGTCAACGGATGTAATTGTGCAATCAACACATTTTCATAATCGCTATCAATGATTTATCTGACTTATCCAATTTCCTGCCCACTTCTTGATGTCTATATCTGCTTGGCCATCGTCATCACTATCAGTGACACTAACTTTGCTTCCATTCCTCCAACTAGCGCAAATGTCGTCGATTAGTTGGGATTAGATGGCAGATTATGCGCCCGAGGTCCTTTGGCCAAGGGTTGTGAGCCGCCTCATTTCCGCCGCTGTTGTTTCTAGCATTTCTTTTCGCTTCTGTTGTTGGTGACAAAGTCTTTGCCCTGTCAGCGGCATTATGTGTTAATATCAATTCTCTGTCAGTTCGTTTCCAACGCGAACTTTGGCCCTGCTGTATTGGCAAATTATTCCGGTATTTGTTTTTGTCAGCTGGATGGAGCGACTTAATATGCATTCAGCCGCTGTTAAATCCAGTCCTTGACAGGACCTGCCGTCATTCTGCACAAATCGATAATACCAAGTCGTCTGCCATGGCTGCCAGAAAGTAATAAGCATAATGAGGGCAGAAGCAGCCTTAAATCCGCCTCATTTGGATGGCATTTCAGGCGATCTTTGATGTCGAAAGTTAACTTTAATCACCAAACCCGCCGCCCATCGAACTCCAATTAAAATCACAATTTCCACGAGTGTCAGTCAAGGGCAGTGTTTTGTGACACCCTCAATTATTTTGCACTTCAGGTGTATAATTTAGACTGCGATGGCTGGTGAGGGAAATCAAAAGCAGAAATCAGCAGACAATTTTACGTAACTCACTTACTGTGCCACATGTTTTGCAACATTTTTCGCCACTTTAAAGGAGGGTCAAAAGTGGGATTAGGCACAACAGCCGTCGGAACATGCGACTTGCTGTTTGGGCGCTCATTGTTTTGACATTATTGCGGGCAAGGGAGTGGGCATTTAACATGCATGGAAAATACTAAGGACTCACCACTCTCCTCCTCCATTTGCAGGTCATTAATTATGATTCATCAAGAGGCGGCGTGTCGGTAATTACCGAAAAGGGCGATGTGACAACCTCATTTCTGCTCATACAGAATGCGGATCTGGCCGATTCGGGCAAATACTCCTGTGCGCCCTCCAATGCAGATGTGGCCAGTGTGCGTGTGCATGTCCTAAATGGTAAGTACCCATTGCCCTGCCCCTAGTCAGTAGCACCGCCCGAAAATCGGGACAATCGGAGCACTCCTCCTCCGGCCAAATATCCGAGTGCCACGCCCATCAAATGCCATTTGTGGAGGAGCGCTTACATTAACTGACAAACGAACCCGACAGCCATCCACTGCGCTGGCATTTTGTTTTCTTTGTTGCGCTTAAAGCTCCGGTGCACACGAAAAAATAGCACTTTTTGAAACAGATTTGTATCTAGAATGTATATAGTTGTATGCAGCGTGCAGGGAAAATGTGGATCTGTCGGAAAGTTAGTTAGTTGTTAGTTCCGAAACTGGAATAGAAACATAAGAATGTTTTAAATACTAATTTCGTGATATACGGTAACGGAATCTAATAATAATCATTGGGTTTTTCCCTTACAAGAAAAGTACCCAAAAACATTTTATTTTGTATTTAATGCTTATAGCCGAGGTCGAGTAGAAATTGATTTCTTGCCGTGTGACAAATTTTCAAATGTCCTGGCAGCACTGCTTTTGCATCTGAATACATGTATCCGTGACAGGGCGTTACCCAACGGGCCGTTTTATGAAGTCAAATGGACCTGGCCCGGGGGCTGGTTCCAAGTCCAGAGGTCCGCCAGTGGACAGTGGTGACCTCCGACCGCCTTGACCCACTGCAAGCCCACTGAGCCCGCTTTCCGATTGCAATTTCGGCTCATTTCCGCCTGCATGCAGGATGCCCGTGACTCTTTCACAATTGACCGGCTCCGAGTCCTTAATAAATTGTGCAGGAACTCGGCTCGCTTGATTTCCAGCCGGACCGCAAAAGTGCAGCGGCTCCACAATCTCCCGTATCCATTGGCTCAGTGAAAATGGCCCAATTTTCGGTTTTGATGTTTTGATGTGACCCACGGGGCGAGGGGGACTGGTTGTTTTGTAGCGGGTTCGCAGCACATAATCGCATCAATTATGAGCAAATTAATTAGCACACTGCGGTTAATTGCAGTTAAGTGAGTGCCAGACAGACGAGCTGAGTTCCCACAGTTTCAGGCTGCCGGGAAAGGCTTTCCCGCCAGCCAAAACACAAAGACGGATACCGGCGACATTTACAAATTGCCAGTGGGACTGCGTGGGAGGAGGAATTGTTGCAATTTGCCGGCATAATCGCTGTCGATCGTCGTGGATTTGACACAGTTAAAATAAATTACGTAATTGTAAAGGCCACAGACAAGGACAAAAGGCAAGGAGACGGAGGGTGGGGAAAAGTCCTGCGACTATGACAACGAATGGCATACAATTTGAGAGGAGAGTGCGGGCCTGGGCGCACCGGATGCGGAAATGAAGGGGGCACGTTTTTCAATCATGCTAACAGCACCATGGTGACCCCGACTACTGACTACTGGCCACCACCCAGCGTTTTCCCGCAAATGGACCGCAAATGGTAACGTGCGGAAATCCATGCTGTTGCCATTGTAAACGTTTGCCAGCCATTATGCATGAATGCATAGAAATAGAATTCGGGGGCGAGAACGGGGATCCTGTTTTGGGGCTTTTTCGCAGCACCCAGGTGGGCGCCATGTTTCGGAGATGCCCGTGCGATAGTGGGTTTAACAAACAAAATAATGAAGCAACAGCCCCGACATGCAAAGGGCCAAAAGCCGCGGCACGCGGAAAATCCAAAAAGAAAAATGTTGGTCACGAAATATACGAGCTTACACTACTCCGGATGTTCTAGGCGAACCAGCGATAAGCTGCGAGTGAAATCCGATGTTTATTGCCTTTCAAAACTGTTTGAATGAATCTAAAATCGCGACATAAGTCGAAGCCACTGGAAAAAAAACGCTCTTTACTAAAATGTTTCACTTTAAATAAGACAAACTAAGACAAGTAGTACAAATTTAAGCATGCTTCCCTTATTTATATAAATTATGTGAAAATATTCAGTTCATAAATAACCACTTAACAGTTAATTGACTTTCATCTACCTTTGACAATGTAAAAGTTAATTGCATTCATTTGTTTATTGCATTCTAATCAGTGATAAAGCGAACTGTTGGCCTTATTATGAATGCGCTTTTGTGCTTTTTTTCACCTTACAGTTATTAAAAATACTTGTGTTTTATATGTTTCAAACAAATGTGCCAGAATGTAGTCGAGATTAGCTCCTATTGACTTTATGGTTTAACAAGGCATGCGCCCTTTGTTTTTAATGTTAAACGACAAACCCATTTCCATTTGGGTTATTGAAAAACTGTTTGTAAAGCGGATTAACAAGTCCCTAATATGTTGTGGACTGAATGCAGATATATACAATCGTAATCTGTATGTAAATCAGATCATCCATTTGGATATAGCTTCTGAACTTCGACCTTCGCCTGCGTTTGGTCACCACGAGTCTCAATGGAAGGTCGAAGGCCACTTGAATTCGAGCGTTAATGACAGAAGCAGGGCCTCGTGTTGTGACAGGCAAACAAACGCAGCTCATAGCAGCTCAATTGTCCTTTTACCAGCCCCAAGTTGCCTGGCAATCAGAAATGTCCTTCAGACGCACCATTCTCCTGCAGGACAGGATGTGCATAGGTCATCATCTAGCTGGTGAGATGGTGAGAACTGCTTCAAGGTTTGTTAGCTGTCGCAAGGCAGTGGTCATCAAAGTGAAGTATCTGAGTGTGTACTGGAATTCCATCAAATAATATTTATTAAATAGGCATGGCATCAATAAAAAATGGTAGGAAATGCTTAGTTCTAGAGTGGAATGATGTATGCAGCTCTTAAACGCAATGCAAAATACTTTAAGGGGCCTTCTATTCCGTTTGTTCCCGTCTGTATTTATTAATGATTAGTTCCTACTGAATTTACTGAGTGTTATGCCGGCACTCAAGTTGCCCGAAGCTGTCAGGAGCACATCCTGGCGAATATCTGACTTGGGAAGCCGTCGAATTGAGTTTCGCCACAGCCGCATTAGTGGGCATTCCCGGAATGCTGGAGCACCATTAAATTGGATATGGAAACCACAGGGGAAAACCACTGTGCACTCGGCGCCTTGAGAGCGATTGCACTGGATGTGCCTGTCAATCAGGCAACAATTGGGTAAATCAGGACTCGGAGCTCAGTGCCAGGCCATGTCCATCCACGTTGCGTAGCCGGAATGCCTAAGCAGGTAGTTTGCCCTATTTGCTGCTGATGATTTCGATGCATCCTTGCAGGATGGAATTCGATGGGGGTGGCATGGAACAACATCCATCTGGCTCCATTCAATTATGGTCAAAGGAGGAATGATGGCAGAGGGGGATCAGGTGACTCGTGGCTTGGCATATTGATATTTGTGCGGCATACGGCGCTGCAGCCTTCGCAGTTTACACTTGAGAAATCAAACGGAATCACCGACAAATGTCCTGGCCACCTGATCCCAAACCCTCCTACAAAAGGAAAAAAACTTGGGGACAAGAACGAGAAAATCCAAAGTTTCGATTTATTTTCGCCAGTTTGAAATTTCTTTGGCTATTTGTGTAGCGCCGTTGTTGGCCGGCTGCTCATCAAACGCCAAACGGCTCAGGCAGATCGAGAAAGTGTGAGAAGTTAAAGCCTTGACCTGCTTCCCGTCCAAAAACGGAGGAGCCAAATCCCCGTGCCTTGCTGCACGTATCGAAGTCAGCCGTATGTCCTGCAAAACTCACACACACACACACACGCCGAAATCCTTTAGCCAAGTTTCGCAGGACGGCGAATTTATTCCACTTCGTGTTTCCCGACAACGCTGTGTGCTGCAGATTAGCTTTGTATTTTGTCACAGGAAATTACATTGCGCCTTAAGGATGCCGTAGCGCAAAAATTCGTTTCATTGTTTGCGCGTTTGTATTTGTGCGCTCCGCTGACTGAGTGCCCGACCTCCTGATCCTGGTCTTTGGGCCAGGATTCCTAGTGCTGGTCCGTGCCGGAGTCCGATTCCCCAGAGCCATTCCCAGGCCTGCACTGTGGAGAATACTGGAGATTACTAACGTTTTACTTCCTGATTCGATGTGTGCACTTGCAGGTACAAGTTGTGTTTGAAGCTCTCGGAGATTATACATTGATGTCTAGGAGAAATGAGTTAATCAGCATGAAGCACCTTTCAGATCATAATACCACCTCTACTTTCGAATACCATTATGTCGGTTATTCGCAAAGCTTAAAACTCTTTTCTCAGTGTAGCGCGCAGGTATGCTCCATTCGCCATCTTTCGCCTTTAATCGTGTGTACGTGTGTCACTGAAGTTGGCGAGAGTTCTCTGGTTCAGGGAATCCTGGCAACTGTCCACCTGCCCTCCACTGCTGCCCCATTAGTCTGTACATTAGGAGCAGCACACAAAGCTAACACTTCCTGTGTGGATGAGTCTATGTGAATGTGACGCACTGTTGTTGCTGCAGCTAGTTTGGCATTCCGGCTACACAATTTAATACAAGCTACAGCAAATTGCAGAGTCTAGATGTGTGTATTTAAATGGCAATGATGGCATTTTGCTGATAGGCGCCAACAATTACACTGCGACAGAGAAGGGACTCTAATTGGCGAAGCTCTACAATGCTTACTACAATTATTAAATTCAGATGGTAGCTAAGTTGAGAAAGCCATGCCATTTAAGCGAAACTTCCCTTTAAAATAATATAGTTATATTCTTAGATGTTAATTAACATCCAAACCTAAGGATATTACGCAAGAATCTTTTTCAAATAACAATTTCAAAAGAGCCCAACTATCAAATACTTATTCTGCACCCAGTAGGTACCACCAATTTTAAGTATTTCTTGATTATCCCCCCACTTTCCTACAGTGCACTCTCCCGAAAACTAATGCCTGGAAAAACTTTGTCCATAAGTCATGATAGCATTTCCGTGTGTGGGTTTCCACATCTGAGCTCTGTCGCCATCACAATCTCTCATTCCTAGAACCCTCGCTTCATGCATAGTCAATCCTCGGAGATTGCCGGCTAACATAATTTGTGCCATGTTGAACAGCAGCAAAGCCAAGTAG